TTTATTTATAATGTCAAGTAGCAGTAGTGAGGGGTCGAGTGGGAGTAGTAGTAGCCAAACGTCTAGGAGTTCAAACGTTAGAGACCCCGACCCCGACACCACATCCCTGATACCAATGGCAGTGCCCATCGTCTCGCACCCCGAGGTCGAGGCCATAATGACATACCCTAGGATACCGACCATGTATAAGGAACACGTGGTTATAGCGAGGGAGTTCGATGTCATGCCTGCTTGTGATGTGAGAACCCCTGGGCCCAATGATACCGTGTTGGATGCTCGGGATGGAGAGAACATTTTTCCGGGATGCTCTCAAGGCGGGGCTTAGGTGGCCACTACACCCCTTCTTCCTCGACTTCTTGACCTCATACATGATATGCCCAGGTCAACTAGCCCCAAATGGTTAGAGGCTACTTGTCTATTTCTTTATCCTGTGTAGGTGTCTCGGGGAAGAACCTAGGACCGCTCTTCTGAGGATGGTGTATGACCTGAAATACTCGCCGGGGTTTAATTGTTTCGTGTATTTGTCGACTAAGGGAGGATTTAGGACTCCGGAAACCCCGAGTTCTCTCCGAGATTGGAAGGAGAGATATTTTTTTGTCCAACCACAGAACCCCGACCATCCCTTTCGGCCGATGTGGTCAGTCCCCGATAAGGATATGATTAACGAGGGACAGCCCTACTTCGAGGCCTTGGAGAGAGATAGGCTCAGGTTAGTTAATTGCGAGCCACTGGCAGCCAAAGTGGATTTCTTGCTCGAGACCGACACCCTCGAGCTCGCCAACGTGAGGGGCATCGAGGGTATGAGTCGAACCCTCACTGATTTTGCCATTTACCCGAACTCAGATCGAGCTAATGACTTGTCTTTTTCTTGCAGAACTTGAGATGTCTTTCAACCCCNTGGATTTTTTGCTCGAGGACGACACCCTCGAGCTTGCCAACGTGAGGGGCATCGAGGGTATGAGTCGAACCCTCACTGCTTTTGCTATTTCCCCGAACTTAGATCGAGCTAATAACTTGTCTTTTTCTTGCACAATTGGAGATGTCTTTCAATCCGGGAGCACTTCTTGCCAACGTTCACAAAAAGGTGAAGGGGCCGCAGGCAAAACCCCCGGCCCCGTCGAAAGGGAAGAAAAGAGCTCATGACCATCCCCTGAGTATTGCATCCACCGATCATGGGCAGCCTTCGAAAAGCCCCAGGCCTCAAACGCAGACATCTCCTCGACCACCAGTACCTCGAGGTCGTCCGGAGATTGTCGATCTGGAGGACGATGCTCCTCTGCCTCAAGGCGTGCTCGAGGAACATGCTCGATGTCCCTTGATCCCTTCGATGGTGGCCAAGTACAGAGATGAGGTCGATCCCAGGGAGGGTGTTTGAGCTCTCATGACCCTAAAGGTATGTCTGCCCTCGTTAGCATTGTTTACTATAGTAAGTTGCTGTGTTTTGATCGATGTTGTTCATGCAGGCTCTGAGTATGGCCCGAGGTCTCTCTTTGAGGAGCCTCGAGTCGTCGGGTAAAGTTGCAGAGCTCGAGGCACAAATCGAGCAGAAAGAAGAACGCGTAAGGGAGCTCGAGGTTGAACACGACCTCGTCCGTATCGATCTGAGAAAGGCGCGAGATCAGATTGGGGAGATAAGGGATGAGGCCGAGGAGGCCAAGCTGGAGCTCCTCCCTGTGCGGAAAGGGGTCGAGGACCAATTGACCAGGGCTCGAACTCAGGCTGTCGAGGAGTTCAAAGGGTCAGAGGAGCAGAAGACATTGCTCGGGGAATATGGCTCGGGCTCGTTTCATTATGGGCTGCAGTTGGCCCGAGCTTACCTGAGGACGAAATTGCCCGAGGACGTGAAGCCCGTTATTGACGGCCTGAGGTCTGTTAGCGACCTTGCCAATGAGCTCGAGCTTTCTGCCTCAGAGCCCGAGGACGATGCCGATGAAGAGCCCGAGGACACCCCTGACGTGGGTGCTGTCGATCTAGATTAGGCCTCCCCGATCCCTATTGTATTTTAAGTTCTTTTTGAAAATGTAACTATGTGGCCCGAGGTGGCATGAATGAATGTACGATGTTTTCATGTTATCGAGCTCGAGTATTTTTATGCGTATCGTATTGCACTTCGAGTATTTTCATTGCATGAGCGAGATCGGGTGTGTAATTGGGCATGTCGTCGCCCGAGAAGCACGAGTCCCGCAAGGGAGCTCGAGTGTGCTACTTGGGTAAGCGATGGCCAAGTAGCTCGAGTCCTTTGGAGGAGCTTGAGCGTATTACTTGGGCAATTTTAGGGCCAGGTAGCTCGAGCCCTGCAGTGGAGCTCGAGGCGTATTACTTGGGCTTTTGGAGGCCAAGTAGCTCGAGTCCTGTAGGGAAGCTCGAGGCGTATTACTTGGGATTTTGAGGGCCAAGTAGCTCGAGTCCTTTGGAGGAGCTCGAGCGTATTACTTTGGCTTTTGGAGGCCAAGTAACTCGAGCCTTGCAGTGGAGCTCGAGGCGTATTACTTGGGCTTTTGGAGGCCAAGTAGCTCGAGTCCTGTAGGGAAGCTCGAGGCGTATTACTTGGGCTTTCGAGGGCCAAGCAGCTCAAGCCCTGCAGTGGAGCTCGAGGCGTATTACTTGGGCTTTTGGAGGCCAAGCAGCTCGAGCCCTGTAGTGGAGCTGTGGAGCTCGAGGCGTATTACTTTGGCTTTTGGAGGCCAAGTAGCTCGAGCCCTGCAGTGGAGCTCGAGGCGTATTACTTGGGCTTTTGGAGGCCAAGTAGCTCGAGTCCTGCAGTGGAGCTCGAGGCGTATTACTTGGGCTTTTAAGGGCCAAGCAGCTCGAGCCCTGCAGTGGAGCTCGAGGCGTATTACTTGGGCTTTTGGAGGACAAGCAGCTCGAGCCCTGTAGTGGAGCTCGAGGCGTATTACTTGGGCTTTTGAGGGCCATGTAGCTCGAGCCCTGCAATGGAGCTCGAGGCGTATTACTTGGGCTTTTGGGCCTCAAGCTCGATGATGACAGTTCAATCATAACAAAAATCGAAGCATATTTGAAGGTCATGCTCGGGGTTTAGGAAGTACTGGCTGCCTTAATGTG